TGAGTTCAGCAGCTCCTAGACAAGGGGACGATTGATGACAAGGACCTTCTCCCACAGCTGACAGACAGAAAAAGTCTTCCCCTGGAGCTGGTGTCCTGAAATCAGACGTCTAGCCTCCTAGACAGTGAGAGAATAAATTTGTTTGTTAAAGTCATCCACTTGTAGTATTTCTGTTATAGCAGCACTAGATAACTAAGACAACGCTCCACAGAACTTTGTTCATCAATTTGTTATAGCACGTTTCATGCTCTGTGCCCATGTAATTCACATTGTGTGCACAACAAAATGGAAGTGTCAAGGCCAGCAATTGCAACTTCTGTTGTCGTTGCTGTCCAGTCGATTCCAATTCAGGGTGATTCATGTGTTATAGAGTAATACATCTGCTTCCATTAAGACAACAGCCAAGAAAACCCTATGGAGCAGTTCTACTCTGCACACATGGGTTCACAATGAGTCAGAATCAACTTATTAAAAACAACACAGTATCGAATACCACATTTTATGCAAATAATGTGTGCATTATACTTTTTTGCCAACTGTGCAATTCCCTTTGGCATTATTTTCTTAGGTGCGCTATGCATGTTACATGTGCGGGTGCATTATTTTACATGGGTGCGTTATTTGCAAAACACATGGTACTTTTTTTGGGAAAAAATGGACATTTTCTAAAATCCTTACTTTCTCCATAATTGAATTAGATCAATTTCTGTCACATATTTCCACAATGGATATAACTTTTATGACCCAAATTTACCAGAAGACTCAATTAGATGGAATCTAGGGAGAAAATGAAATTGGCTATCTTCTGTTTGTGAGGAAAAACCTTACGGTGAATCCAGATCCCAAGATATATAACCAGGGAGGAGCTGGAGGAGCTCTTGGAAAAGGCTGCCAGGGGCGAGGAGATGGTCACCCTGTGTTTAGAACCATTGTAAAGGATTTTCTGTTCAAGTGATGGCATCATTTACATTATGTCTCCCCATATGTTGAGCCTGATGAAATACACAGACTGAAAATATGTGGGTAAATAATGTTCAAAGTAAGGTCTCCATTCCAAACCACAAGATTGCTGTTCTTAGGTGCTGTCAAGTTGGTTTTGACTCATAGTGACCCTATGTACAACTGAACGAAACACTGCCTGGTCCTGTGCCATCCTCACAATCCTTCTTAGGTTTGAGTCCAATCCGTCTTACTGAGGGTCTTCTTTTTCATGACTCTACCAAGCGTGATGTCTTTCTCCAGGGACTGGTATCTCCTGATAACATGTCAAAAATATGTGAGATTAAGACTAGCCATTCTTGCTTTCAAGGAAAACTGTGACTGTATTTCTTCCCAGAGACTTGTTTGTTCTGGCAGTGAATGGTATATTCAATATTCTTCACCAACACTGTAACTCAAAGGCATGAATTCTTCTTTGATCTTACCTACACCAGCATTCGCATTCATTGTCCAGCTTTCACATGCATATGAGTCGATTAAAATATCATGGCTTGGGTCAGGCGCACCTTAGACCTCAAAGTGGTATCTTTGCTTTTGAACACTTTAAAGAGGTCTTTTGCAGCAGATTTCTCCAATGCAATACGTTCTTTGATTTCCTGACTGCTGCTTCCATGGGCACTGATTGTGGATCCAAGTAAAACGAAATTCTTGACAACTTCCATCTTTTCTCCCTTTATCATGATGTTGCTTATTGGTCCAGTTGTGAGGATTTTTGTTTTATGTTGAGGTGTAATCCATACTTAAGGTTGTAGTCTTTGATCTTCATCAGTAAGTGCTTCAAGTCCTCTTCATTTTCAGCAAGCAAGGTTGTGTCATCTACATATCGCAGGTTGTTAATGAGTCTTCCACCAATCCTGATGATACATTCTTCTTCATATAGCTCAGCTTCTCGGATTATTTGCTCAGCATACAGGTAGAATTTAAGTATGGTGAAAGGATGCCACCCTGATGTACACCTTTCTTGATTTTGAACCATGCAGTATCCCCTTGCTCTGTTCGAACAACTGCCTCTTGGTCTATGTACAGGTTCTGCATAAGCACAATTGTTCTGGAATTTCCATTGTTCCCAATGCTATCCATTATTGTTATGATCCACGTAGTCCAATGTCTTTGCACAGTCAATAAAACACAGGTATACACCTTTCTGGTATTCTCTTTCAGCCAAGATCCATCTGATATCAGCAATAACATCCCCTGCTCCACGTCCTCTTCTGAAACCGGCTTGAATTTCTGGCAGTATGTTCTGCTGCAATCACTTTTGAAAGATCTTCAGCAAAATTTTACTTGCATGTGACTTGTTCTATAATTGACCCATTCTGTTGAATCACCTTTCCTTGAAATGGGCACAAATATGGATCTCTTCCAGTTGGTTGGCCAGGTCTTTCAAATTTCTTGGCATAGATGAGTAAGCACCTCCACTGCTGTGTCCATATGCTGAGATATCTCAATTGGTATTCCGTCAATTCCTGGAGCCTTGTTTTTCACCAATGCCTTCAGTGTAGCTTGGACTTCTTCCTACAATACCATCAGTTTTTGATTATATGCTATCTCCTGAAATGATGGAACATCCCCAATTCTTTTTGGTACAGTGACAGTGTATTCCTTTCATCTGCTTTTGATGCTTCCTGCATCATTCAATATTCTGCCCATAGATCCTTCAAAATTTCAACTCAAGGCTTGAATTTTTTCTTCGGTTCTTTCAGCTTGAGAAATACCAAGTGTGTTCTTCCCTTTTGGTTTTCTAACTCCAGGTCTTTGCACATGTCATTAGAATACTTTACTTTGTCTTCTCTAGCTGCCCTTTGAAATCTTCTGTTCAGCTCTTTCACTTCATCTTTTCTTCCATTTGTTTTAGCTACTCTATGTTCAAGCGCAAGTTTGAGAGTCTTTTCTGACATCCATTTTGGTCTTTTCTTTTCTGTTTAATGACCTTTTGCTTTCTTCATATGTGATGTTTCCTTGATGTCTTCCCACAACTTGTCTGGTCTTCGGTCATTAGTGTTCAATGCTTCAAACCTATTCTTGAGATGGTCTCTAAATACAGGTGGGATATACTCAAGGTCATACTTTTGCTCTCATAGACTTGTTCTAATTCTCTTCAGCTTCATCTTGAAGTTGCATATGAGCAATTGATGCTCTGTTCCACAGTCGGCCCCTGGCCTTGTTCTGACTGGTAATATGGAGCTCTTCTATTGTCTCTTTCCACAGATGAAGTCGATTTAATTCCTGTGTTTTCCGTCTGGTGAGGTCCACATGTACAGTCGCCATTTATGTTGAAAAAAGATATTTGCAATGAAGAAGTCGTTGGTCTTACAAAATTCTATCATGCCATCTCCGGTACCACTTGTATCACTAAGGCCTTATTTTCCAACCACGGATCCTTATTTCCAACTTTTGCATTCCAATCACCAGCAATTACCAGTGCATCTTGATTGCATGTTTGATCAATTTCAGACTGCAGAAGTTGGTAAAAATATTCTATTTCCTCATCTTTAGCATTAGTGGTTGGTGCATAAATTTTTTTTATTGTACTGTAGATGTTTAAAGAATAGTTTCTCATTAAACAGTTAGTACACATATTGTTTTATGACAATGGTTAACAACCCCGCAACATGTCAACACTGTCCCTTCTCAACCTTGGGTTCCCTATTACCGGCTTTCCTGTCCCCTCCTGCCTTGTCCCTGGACTGTTGTGCCCCATTAGTCTCGTTTTGTTTTATGGGGCTAATCTTTGGCTGAATGATGAACCTCGGGAGTGACTTCATTACTGAGCTAAAAGGGTGTCCCAGGGCCATACTCTCTGGGTTTCTCCAGTCTCTTTCAGGCCAGTAAGTCTGGTCTTTGTGAGTTAGAATTTTGTTCTACATTTTTCTCCAGCTCTGTCCAGGACCCTCTGTTGTGATCCCTGTCAGTCAGTGGGCACCATCTAGTTGTATTGGACTCAGTCTGGTGGAGGTCGTGGTAGTTGTGGTCCATTAGTCCTTTGGACTAATCTTCCCCTTGTATCTTGTTTTCTTCATTCTCCCTTGCTGCCGAAGGGGTGGACCAGTGGAGTATCTTAGATGGCTGCTCACAGGCTTTTAAGACCCCAGACGCTACTCACCAAGGTAGAATGTAGAACATTTTCTTAATAAAGTGTGTTATGCCAATTGAGCTATATGTTCCCTGAGACCGTGGTCCCCCCAGCCCTCGGTTGGTGCATAAATTTGAATAATAGTCATACTAACTGGTCTTCCTTGTAGGCATATGGATATTATTCTATCACTGGCAGCATTGTGGTTTAGGATAGATCTTGAAATCTTCTTTTTGACGATGAACCCGATTCCATTCCTTTTCAATTTGTCATTCTCACCATAGTAGACCATATGATTGCCTGATTAAAAATGACCAATACCAGTCCATTTCACAAATTCCTAGGATATCGATGTTTGTGTTCCATTTCATTTTTGACTTCCGTTTTTCCTAGATTCATACTCCCTACATTCCATGTTCTGATTATTAATGGATGTTTGCAGCTGTTTCTTCTCATTTTGAGTCATGTCACATCAGCAAATGAAGGCCCCAAAAGCTTGACTCCATCCACATCATTAAGTTCAACTCTACTTTGAGGAGGCAGCTCTTTCACAGTCATATTTTTTGAGTGCCTTCCGACCTGAGGGACTCATCTTCTGGCACTGTATCAGGCAATGTTCCACTGCTATTCAGGTTTTCACTACCCAGTTTTTTCCAAAATAGACTGCCAGGTCCTTGTTACTAGTCTGTCTTGGTCTGGAAGCTCCACTGAATCCTGTCCACCAAGAGTAACTCTGCTGCTATTTGAAGTACTGGTGGGAAAGCTTCCAGTATCACACCACCACACAAGCCACCACAGTATGACAAACTGACAGACATGTGGTGGAACCTATTTCAGGTTAACATAACATGCGTGTTGTGATAGCTAAATTGAAGGATAGTTTTGAAATTCTGTTAATTACTCACATTTAGCTTCAGATTCTACTTTATAGTTTTTCCTAAGTGTTCCCTTATTTTCCTCCGTGTCTTAAGTTTTCAACTGCTTTTCTTGATTGGGGGAACACAGATTTTTCTCCCAAAACCTTCCTTCTGGTGGCTTCAGTATCCCTCAGCCTTTCCCTTTAAGAATCTCTGAGGTTTTAGAGTGAGCTGTCTCACTGAAATGTTGCCTGCAAAATCTTGCAAAAGATGTACATAAACAAAATCTGCTTCTAAATCTCTCCCTGGTATTCTCTCCTCTGAAGTTAAGGAAAAAGGCCAGACATGGGGCAAAAGAGCTTCCCTGGGACACAGCTGTCCGGGCGGGGTGATGGCAAAGAGGCAGCCTGTATACCTGAACATCATTCCTGTACAATTAATTTCTTAACCACCTCTTTCTCCATCCCAGACCCTGAGGAGTTTTCATGGTGACCTGACAACTCTGCCCATTCCAGAGTGTAGCCGGAGGCTCATAGTTACCAGTGCTCTTTGTGTGACCTCTCTGCCGTGTTGAACATTTGTCATTGAAGAATTTCCCCCTTTAGATACATGTGCTACACAATGACACATGAAAAAAAAAAAAAGCTAGTTCTAATTGGTTAAGGAAGTCTCAGGAAAATATTATCACCCAGTGAGTTAAATAATTATTATTGCTGCTTTTGTTTTTACATTAGGTAGTACTGACTTACAAAAAGTATATGCCTGTAGGTGCACAAATATAATTTAAAAATTAAACTGTGTAATTTCCTTCAAGGTACAGCGAGAGGTGAATCTTTTTATTGGAATCTTGTTGTAGTTACAGTCATCAAAATGTTTAGTATCCATTTCACAAAATCTATAACTCAATCTTCCTTACGGAAAATGTCATATAACAAAAACTTGAATAATCAGAAAACTTGAGAAAGACCTATTTTAATTCATTGATTTTCTGATTAAATCTTGACTGAGAAAACCATTTTTATTTCAATGCTTATTAAATTCTTTGCTTTCTAACGGTAACTGATAATCAGGTCACTTTCTTGAGGGAAAAAAAAAAATCAGATGAAAATTAATTCTTTGAGCATTTCATGTCCTGCAGGTGTCTTTATTTCAATTTCCAAAATCTGAATACAGTCTGCAGATTAGACAACAGAACTGTATCAATGTTGATTTCCTGATTTCAATTATTATAGTATGGTTATGTAAGAAAATGTACTCGTTTTTAGGAGATATGAACTATTTACAGGTGAAGGCACATTGCGCCAGCAGCTAGTAACACAGAGCCTTTTCAAAAAATTTTAACAGTATTCCAAAACTCTAAGCTAATGGATAAATGAATAGTGCTATAAAATGGGTTTTTTCAGAGAAAATTTGATCAACAGCATTAGCTCTAGAAGAAGTAGAAAACCTGAGTTACAAACTACAGAAGAAAGATTTGTTGAAATAGTTACCACACTAAAGGTGTTCCTCGAGGTTGAGGATGCAAGGTAACTTGTTTACCGTGGCATGAGGGTTCTAAAGAGAACACTGGAATTCTGGGAAGTAAAGACAGCAGAAAAAGAAATCACAGAAAGTAGGTACTGGGATGAAGGTACAGAGCTATTATATTTCAGGTGCTGCCCAAGAATGCTGCCAAGTTTACCATGTGGCAAAATTTCCTAAGACTTATGCCCAGCCAGAGAAACAACTCACCAGGTTTCTGGGCACTGGGAGCAGTGGACAGAACTGTGATTGCCTGAGAATCACTTCAGCTCTGGCAGAAGTCTGAAGACTGGGTCTTACCTGTGGTGTAAAAAAATGTCTTGGATGGCTCGCTTAGCCTGGCTTTACAACTTATGAGGCTCACCCATTCCTATTTCAGAACCTATAAATATGCTTCATAAATGGCTGCAGTCTATAAACAATGAGAACTAAAACAAGCCCATTCCACCTCCAAAAGGGCAACATTAAATTTCAAATTAAATAATGTTTTAGTCTGGGGGCCAAGCACTTTATGTATTTTCACTCTTTGTTGATGGTGCCTCCCTCTATACCGCCTTCTGGAAGTCTGAAATTACCTCTGTATTTGCTTTACTTCTCTCCCTGGCCCCAGCCTCCCACCTGGACCTCCCCAAAGATATCAAATCAACATTAAATAGAGAGAATTTTATTAATTCATTCAACAATTGCAAGATACCCTACAGACCTTTTCTCTGGTAAACAGTTCCCCAGAACACCTCTTGGAGTTTGAGTATCTTTTAATATAACCCTTTTCAGCATATGAAAAATCTTACTTTATGTCCCACAAATGCAAAACATTTTAAATGTGACTGTGTACAACAATTATATTTCCAATACAATAGAAGAATGTCAAGCGTACCTTAAAAGTGCACCAGTGTCAGCAGACGGGACTGCCTAAGAGATGCATGCCAGTTTCAGGTTACCACATACAAAGCAACTTAATAGTCGGTTGTTTTGTGGGCATGAAACGATGTTTTAAATATTTAATAGTCTAACACGATAGTTATACCTTACTGTGTTTCAGATACATTTTAGGAAACTGCTTGGGAATTTGAGTTGATATGTACCTCACAATTTTTCAAATTTGAAAATAATAGAAAATAGGCTTCCAAGAGGTGCTTTGGGGAGAGAGAGTGTCTTGTTTTACTGAATACATGTAATTTTCAGCCATGAACAAAGGAAAGAGAAGATGCCCACATTTAACTGCTGTAGTAGTGCCTTAAAGCAAAATTTTATTCCAAATAAAAGTATTTTATGTTTTGGAAACAAAAAAAGAATGTCATTTATTTTTTTCTCTTTTCATTTACCCAAATCGAGTGATTTGTAACTAAGCCAGAAAAAGAAAAAAGAAAAAAAAAAAAAAGAAGTAAATCAAAACTACTTCCTGATATAAATTTATCTGGGATAAAATAGGTGAGGACAGATTTACAATTATATCTTAGACAAAAGCAATAGAAAATAACCTTAGAGAGCATTTGAAATTCTGAGGTTCCAATATACTCATCACCCCCATTCCCTCCCATGTCTACACAGCATGGACCCTGGTAGCCACCTCCCAAAGTCCACAAATGGAGGTTTTCCCATTAAAAAAAGGACAATTCGTGTGTGGGGAAACAAAGGTTCCCCTTGCAGAAGAAGGTAAGGTTTTTTTCCATCAAAAGCAACACAGTTACATCAATAGGTCTTTCCAATACTGTGACTCTGAAGCAATCAAAACTCTATTAAATGCAGAAACCACTATCCACTCAAAATATCTGTAATACTGTGGTGTAACAAAAATTTCTCACTCTGTATAGTTAAAGGTTAACCATGATTTTCAGCAAAGCAACAAGTGATTTACTTATTTTTAGTTTATATTCTTTACTCCAATTTAATGAAATACCAAAGTAAACCAAACAAAAAGCGTGAATGTACTTAACATAACTGAATCATACACTCAAAAATGATTAAAATGGTAACTTTTGTTTCGTATATTTTACTACACACACACACACACACACACACACACACACACACAAATAACAAAATGAATCAAAACAAAACAAAAAACCCCAGAATTCAGCCAAACAACTTCAATCGAAGAGGACACTTATCTCCTGTCCTTTTTACCAGATTTCCTCTTTCCAGAGAGTAAGTGTTTGGGTTTCATATCAAACACATGTCTATCTGCCTCCCCTTTCCTCCCTAAGTGATTCATCTTCTTTTGAGCCTTCTTCATCATAGTCTTGGCTTTTTTCACCATCTGTAAAGGAGGAAGAAACATAAAATACTTTCTCTATTGAAACAAAAATTTCCACCGTGTATTATAATTATCTGATAACAGTCTGTCTTAATGCCCCTCGTCTGTTAAGTTCTATGAAGAAACAGACCCTGATAGTCTTGCTCACTGCTGTTTTCCCTCAGAATCACCACAGTATCCAGAGGAACTCAATGAATACTTGCGTATGAAGACTACATGAAAATTGTATCCAGGACAGGTCGTACACCTAGAAAGACTAGATGCATTTTAGACCTGGAAGATTAAAATGTATCTGTTCTAAATCCCTCTTACCCAAACTAAGACACTGAGACTCAGGCCCGTGAAAATTTACTACTCACATCTGATTAACAAGTGGCAAAGTCAATATCAAAAACAGATTTCTAGATAGAAATGGTATTAAATGGAAAGCTTAAGCTTCAAAGCCAGACAGGCCATGACTTTAGGTAAGCCAATCATTTCTTATAAATGGGTATATTAATACTTATACCCCTTAAGGTTGTTATGAAAATGAACTAATATTTTTAAATGCCTAGAACATCATACACACTCAAGAAATTCCTCTCCTCCCCTTCAAGTCCAATGGTCTTTTTCCATTATACGCCTTCAGTTTAATCCCCATTTACAAAAAAAAAAAAAAGACTGCTTCCTAGTTTACATATATACTTTCTCAGGTAGCTGAATTTTTAAATGCTGAAACTACCAGTTGTTTTTTAAAATAAAGTTACAGCAAAAGAGACTTTATTGTGCTTCGCAAATACTGTGTTTTTAATTTTTTTTTAACAAACTGAAGGTCTGTGGCAACCCCGTGTCAAGCCAGTCTATCGGTGCCTTTTTTCCAACACCATGTGCTAACTTCATGTCTCTGTGTTACATTTTGCTAATTCTTGCAATATTTCAAACTTCTTCATTGTTATAACTGTTATGGTCATCTGTGATCACTGATCTTTGATGTTACTATTTTAACTGTTTTGGGGCATCACAACTGCATCCATAAAAGACAGTGAACTTCATTGATAAATGTGTGTTCTGACTGCTCCATGGACCGGCAGTTCCCCCATTTCTCTTCCTCTCCTTAGGCTTCCCTATTCCCTGAGACATGACTGTTATGGATTGAACTGTGTCCCCCCAAAATGTGAGTCTACTTGGCTAGGTTATCATTCCCAGTACTGTGTGGTTGTCCTCCAGTCTGTGATCTGATGTGTTGTAAATACTAAACTCTATGTTAATGAGGCAGGATTACAAGTAGTTAGGTTAATGAGGCAGAAAACAATCTAGAGGATCAGATTGTGAGTCAATTTTTTTGAAATATAAAAGAAGCCAGCAGAAAGGAGAGGGACCTCATTACCACCAAGCAAGAGCCAGGAGCGGAGCACATCCTTTGGACTTGGGGTCCTAGTGCTGAGAAGCTCCTAGACCAGGGAAAGACTGAAGACAAGGACCTTCCCCCAAAGCCAAAAGAGAAAGCCTTCCCCTGGAGATGGCACCCCGAATTCGGACTTCTAGCCTCCTAGACTGTGAGAGAATACATTTCTGTTTGTTAAAGCCATCCACTTGTGGTACTTATGTTACAGCAGCACTAGATAACTAAGACAATGACAATATGAAATTAGGCCAATTAATAACCCTACAATGGCCTCTAAGCGTCCAAGTGAAAGGAAGAGTCGCACGTTCCTCACTTTGAATTAAGTTAGAAATGATTAAGCTTAGTAAGGGAGGCATGTTGAAAGGTGGGACAGTCCGAAAGCTACACCTCTTGCACCAAACAGTTAGCCAAGTTGTGAACGCAAAGGAAAGTTCTTGAACGAAATTAAAAGTGTTACTCCAGAGGTCCCTCTTACAACAAAGACCCAAAAAAACAAGTGATCGATTATATATGACAATCTAGGAGCCCTGAACACCAAAGGCAAAGTTTAGGAATCAGACTCAGTGGCAGGGGAGGGAGAAACGGTTCAGAAGAAGTGAGGAGTTGCCAGACCAGACCTGGCGGAAACCAGCACCCTGCAGGCCGGAATGGCTGGCGTGTGCGGTGAGGCTAGCAGTGGCGTTTGGGACATGTTTTCCACATCAGGAGAAACAGCTGTGGAGAGTCTACTCAAGTCTCCAGAACTAGTGAAAAGTAAGTACACGTGTCTAACCTTACCACGTGGATCAAAAAACATCTCATTTAGGAAGAGCCTCTCTCCCATTTACCTGCTCCCTCCCCAACTCTGCAACAGTCCAGGCCGGCTTCAGGTCCAGGCCAAAGCCCAGGCCGGCTTCAGCGACTGCCACTCCCCTTGGGCCAGAAGTAGGACTCGTCAAGTGCCCTAAGCCATTCTCCCGGCCTTGGACAGGGAACAAATTAACAAGCAGGAAAAATAATCTACCATCTCGCCTAAGCCAAGAAGTCAGGGCAGGCACAGCTCCTTTGCCTAGGCACAGTCATAAGCGGTCCATGGACTCTGAATGCCTTTCACCCCTGCACAGACCTGTGTGGGCTCATATCAACAGTGGAGGCCCTCATTAGCACAATACAACAGGGTATATATCTGAAGCCTAACTTCCTGTATCAGCTATATGGTGGAATGGCAGGTTCGTGACATTTGACACTGCTCTGCCCATTAACCAAGGTCCTCACCTACCCACATCAGAGGCCTGAGGACTGGCGGCTCCACCCACGCCACCTAGCCACCTACGAGAGGGGTCCAAGAACAAGTGGTGCCTCCCGGTCCTTACAGCCAACAGCACTGGGTGCCCATAGTCCGGCTGCAAACCCACGCACTCTAGGGAACAGGGACACGCTTTCCTCCCAGACACTCAGGGGCAGCCGTCAGCCCCCTGCCTTGCTCAGCATGTAACCCCCTACTGCAGCCAGATATTTGTGCCTACTCCAATCACCCCTGCCCATCTAGGACTGTAGGTGAGAGGCTTTACCACACACTTGGTGACCGACTATCTGGACACCTGAGCTGAAACCATAAAAGAAAAGTAAACGGACTCCTGGGCTCACATACCTAGTAACAGATCTAACTACCTGGTGACAGGACATCAGTGCTTCAAAGGCACCAACAATCAAACTAGCTCACACGAGCAGCCTATTTGGGCATATCAAAACAAAATAAAACAAGAAGGTAGGACACAATAACCAAACATAAAATAAATAAATAACTTAATGATGGCTCAGCGACAACAGTCAATATCAAATCACATAAAAAGGCAGACCATGATGGCTTCAGCAAGCTCCCAAAACAAAGAATTAAGAAATCTTCTAGAGGAAGAGAACTTCTTGGAATTAACAGAGGTAGAATACAAAAGATTAACATACAGAACTCTTCAGAAGATCAGGCAAAATGCAGAACAAGCCAAGTAACAAACAGACAAAGCAACAGAGGAATTTAAGATTACAGAAGAGCACAATGACAAATCAAACAGGCTGCAAGAATACACAGAGAGGCAGCAAACAAATTCAGAAGACTAACAATAAAATTTCACAACTAGACAACTCAGTAAAAGTCATAGGAGCAGAATTGAGACAATGGAAGTTAGAATTAGTGAGACTGAAGATAAAGCACTTGATGCCAACTTATTTGAGGAAAAATCATATAAAAGGATTAAAAAAAATGAAGAAACCCTAAGAATTATGTGGGACTCTATCGAATAACCTGCAAGTGACTGCAGTACCAGAATGGGGGAGATAACAAAAAATACAGAGAGAACTGATGAAGATTTGCTGGCAGAAAACTTCCCTGATATCGTGAAAGATATCTATCCAATGCCCATCGAACCCCACAAAAGGTAGATCCCAAAAGAAAGTCACCAAGACATATGCTGATCAAACTTGCCAAAACCAAAGATAAAGAGAGAATTTTAAGAGCAGCCAGGGAGAAACAAAAAGTCATCTACAAAGGAGAGTCAATAAGACTAACCTCAGACTACTCAGCAGAACCATGAAGGCAAGAAGGCAATGGGATGACATATATAAAACCTTGAAGGAAAAAAATTGCCAGCCAAGAATTATATATCCAGCAAAACTGTCTTGCAAATATGATGGCGAAATTAGGGCATTTCCAGACAAACAAAAGTTTAGGGAATTTACAAAAACCAAATCAAAATTACAAGAAACACTAAGTCCTCTGGTTAGAAAATCAGTAACATCAGATAACAACCCAAGACTAGACATAGGACAGAGCAACCAGATCAACCCAAATAGGAAAGTTACAAAAATAAATCAAAGTTAAAACACTGAGAACAGGGAAACAGAGACGTCAATATGTAAAAGATGACAATGTTAAAACAAAAAAGAGGGACTAAAAGATGTGGTCATAGATCTTTCACATGGAGAGGAAGTCAAGGCAATATAAAGAAATAAAAGATTGGTTTAAACTTAGAAAAATAGGGGTAAACATTATGGCAACCACAAAGGAAACTAACAATCCTACACATCAAAATAAAAAAAACATAAAAACTCAGCAAATACAAAATCAAGAAATACGAAAAAGATGAAAAGAAAATACATTTAAAAAAACCCTCAGCACAGAAAATTAAGTGGAGCAAAGAAACTGTCAACAACACATAAAAAAAGGCATCAAAATGACAGCACTAAACTCATCTATCAATAATTACACTGAATGTAAATGGACTAAATGCACCAATGAAGAGAGAGTGGCAGAATGGATTAAAAAACCCAATTCATCTATATGCTGCCTACAAGAGATGCACCTTGGACTTAAAGACACAAACTAAAACTCAAAGGAAGGAAAAAAAATCAAGCAAACAATCTAAAAAGAGCAGGAGTGGCAATATTAATCTCTGACAAAATTTTAAAGTAAAATCCATCACAAAGGACACTATATAATGATTAAAGAGTCAATACACCAGGAGGACATAACCATAATAAATATTGACACACCTAACAACAGGGCTCCAAAATACATAAACTCTAATGGCATTGAAAAGAGAGAGAGACAGCTCCACAATAATAGTAGACTTCAACACACCACTTTCAGTGAAGGACAGAAAATCCAGAAAGAAGCTCAATAAAGACATGGAAGATCTAAATGCCACAATCAACCAACCTGATCTCATAGACATGTATTGAATACTCTACCTAACAGCAGCCAAGTCTACTTTCTTTTCCAACGCACATGGAACGTTATCCAGAATAGATCACATATTAGAACATAAAGCAAGCCTAACAGAATCCAAAGCATTGAAATATTACAAAGCATTTCTTCTGACCATAAAAGTGCTACTCCAGTGAACACATGAATGATTAGAAAGCGAAACAGCCTTACTGCTGACATGGGAGAAAATTTCAGTGGTCTAGACAGAATATCAAACCAGTCACAACATTCCCTTAAACCAAAGCTTAATCCAGAGCCAGACCCTTTCCTCAATTCTGTGAAGGCTGAGAGAGGTGAGGAAGCTGCAGAAGAAAAGTCTGAAGCTAGCAGAAGTTGGTTCATGAGGTTTAAGGAAAGAAGCTATCCCCATAACATGAAAGTGCAAGGTGAAGCAGCAAGTGCTGATATAGAAGGTGCAGCAGGTTATCCAGAAGATCTAGCTAAGATAACAGATGAAGGTGGCTACATTAAACAATAGATTTTCAATGTAGACGTAACAGCCTTTTATTAAAGCTTCAAAGAACAGGCTGACTCTCTTGTTAGAGACTAATGCAGCTGGTGACTTTAAGTTGAAGCCAATGCTCATTTACGATTCCGAAAATGCTATGGCCTTTAAGAACTATGCTAAATCTACCCTGGTGGCACACTGGTTTAAGAGCTACAGCTGCTAACCAAAAGGTCAGCAGTTCAAACGTACCAGCTGCTCCTTGGAAATCCTATGGGGCAGTTCTACTCTGTCCTATAGGGTCGCTATGAGTCAGAATCAACTCAGCGGCAATGGATTTGGTTTGTTTTCTTTGTGCTCTATAAAAGGAACAACAAAGCCTGGATGACAGCACATCTGTTTACAACAATGGTTTACTGAATATTTTAAGCCTACTGTGCAGACCTACTGCTCCGAAAAAAAGACTCCTTTCAAAATATTACTGCTCACTGACAATGCACCTGGTCACACAAGAGCTCTGATGAAGATGTACGAGGAGATTAATGTTTTCATGCCTGCTAACACAACATCCATTTTGCAGCCCAGGGATAAAGAAGTAATTCAGACTTTCAAGTTTACTGTTAAAGAAACCCATTTCATAAGGCTATAGCTGCCATACATAGATAGTGATTCCTCTGATGGACCTGGGCATAGTAAACTGAAAACATTCTGGAAAGGATTCACCATTCTAGATGTCATTAAGAACATCCATGATTCACGGGAGGAGGTCAAAATATCAACATGTTGGAAGACGTTGATTCCAACCCTCATGGATGACTTTGAGGGGTTCAAGCCTTCAGTGGAGGAAGTAACTGCACATGTGGTGGAAAGAGCAAGAGAACTAGAATTAGAAGTAGAGCCTGAATTGCTGCAATGTTATGATAAAACTTCAACGGATGAGGAGTTGCTTCTTATGGATTAGCAAAGGAAGTGGTGTCTTGTGATGGATCTACTCTCAGTGAAGATTCTGTGCACATTGTTGAAATGACAACAAAGGATTTAGAATATTACATAAACTTAGTTGATAAAGCGGCAGCAGAGTTTGACGAGACTGACTTCAATTCTGAAAGAAGTTCTGTAGGTACATGCTATCAAACAGCATCGAACGCTACAGAGAGATCATTCATGAACAAGAGTCAATCAATGAGGTAAACTTCACTGTTGTCCTATGGTAAGAAATTGTCACAGCTACCCAGCCTTCAGCAACCACCACCTAAATCAGTCAGCAGCCATTAACACTGAGGCAAGATCCTCTACCAGCAAAAAGATTACGACTCACTGAAGGCTCAAATGAGTTAGCATTTTTCGCAATAAAGTATTTTTTAATTAAGGTACGTACGTTGTTTTTTTAGACATAATGCTACTGCACACTTAATACACTATAGTATAAACATAACTTTTACATGCACTAGAAGATCAAAAAATTCGTATGACTCACTTTATTGGGATAATCACTTTATTGCTGTGGTCTGGAATCAAACCCACAGTATCTCCAAGGTATGCCTGTACACCTAAAACTTCTTTCCAAAAAGACACTACAAATGATTACATGACAGTCACCCAAACTATTTGGAGGGGAAAATATCCCACAATAATGGGAAGACAAGTAGGATTGTCTCAAAAGAGCTGACCAAAAAGGCTCAGAAATCTTCCCGATTTCTTTTCCTGGCAATGGGCTTGCTGGAATTGAGGGCCCACGGTCTGAAGTGCCCAGTTGTATTTATCCCTGCATTATAAGGCCACTCTTCTGTTTACCCCTCCAAAAATGAACAGCCTACCTGCTGGGCAAAGGCATATGGAGCACCTAACGGGGCCCTGGCTCAAGCACACCTCCAAAGGATGCCAAGAAAATGGGGGAAGAAGTGTACCTGCTAACCTCTCTGCCTGCTCCAAATGACAAATGCTGGCATTTGCCCTGAGCCCTTTGTGTAAGTGGGGTGTGACTGATTACTTTTGTGTGATCTTTCTAGCCAAGATCTTGTAACTCCCATCCAGGTGATTGGATAAGACTGTGTGATAAGGTAATTGTGGCCCACCAAGGGCATTGGTCAGTTTTGCCTTAAAAGAGAGCCAATTCCAGAGCAGAGAGGAAGATCCTACACCACCCAAGGAAGAATAGCAGAGAGCGCGTCCTTTGGACCCGGGATCCCTGCGCTGAGAAGCTCCTGGAAGCAGGAGACAGAGAGAGAGACAGTAAGCTGCAACCCTGAAGATGGTGAGAAGCAGTGGCAGGAGAGGCCCAGCAGCAGGAGATGGCACAGTGGACTTCCTGGCCCACAGAGAGAAAAAGCTGAGTGCCTTTGGGGAGCGGCTTAGGGCCAAGGAGAGGTGTGCCTGCGAGAACAGTTGGGAAGAGGCTGTCCTGATGGAAGAACTGTATCCTGAGTGTTCTTGAGACTGAATGGTAACTGTTACTTCCCTAATAAACTCCATAATCGTGGGTATGGTCTGTGAGTGCTATGTGGCCATTGCAATAAATTATTGAAACCAGCAGAGAAGTAGAGAACTGTGTGAGGGGCAGTGGGTGTCAGAATTAGTAAAGATGGTGGAGAGAGGAGGCTTGTCTGGCCTCCACCTCATGGGAGTCAGCCTTGTGCAACTGATTTTGGTTCTCCTTCCCCTTGTGGGGTTGAGGTCAGATACTGCCCCCAAGCCGTTTTCATGGGAAGAAAAAACAGAGGGTTTATTATTATTACCATCACTTCTTACAGACACTAACCTTGACATCCCGAAGACCAGAAACATCACGCGGTGTTCGAGAGCAACTGCGACTCCGGGCCAAAGAAGAGCATGGAGAAGAATCTTCCCACTTTCTTTTCCTAGTAACACTTCGAGATTTTCTTGCCTGGACTGCATAGTGGGCCTGAAAATTATGAAAGGCAAAGTCAGTCTAGAGCTTCAGGGCCTCAGCCTTGCTTCCAGACTTAGAGATAAAATAAAACGACTTCACCAACAAGAAGGACAGTGCAGAATTTGTAGAACCATTATCAGATAAATTAAAGATTTTTAAGATACACATAATTAATTTTTAGTTAACTACTGGTCAAATGTTCTTTTTCACTTAATATGGGCTGCTTTATGTTACAAAGCTAATTTGAACTGTTTTTAAAATTTTACCCATTTAAAAATTTTTTGTTACACTAAATCATTAAATTAGTATCAAAATTTGTATTTCAGACAAAAATTCCTTAATCTTGCTAATCCTTGGTTACCTTACCTGTAAAATAAGGATAAAACTACTCCAAAAAATAAGTAGGCAGTAAGCAAAACACTTATAAACAATAAAAAATTAGAAGCCATATATATATATAACAACTCCGTGCAAGCAAAGATGAAGGCAAATAGGTACATACAAAAATTGCTTACTAAAATACAAATTAACCTATTCCTTTTGGAAAGGAATCTAATACAATGTTATGCTCTGAGTTTGGTAATCCACTTCTGGTCATCTGTTTTTAGGAAATAATCGAGTATGAAAAATTCTTTTATGCAAAAATGTACATGCTCTGGCATAATTCACAACAGCAGATGCCTTCTAGTCTTTAGGGTCACAGGAACACAGTTTTTAACTATTTAGAGCCTAAGTCCCTCACGTTGAGTCGGTAATACCTCCTACTTTCTATTTATTTGATAAACTAAAATTAATTAAAACACTATGTAACTTTAGTCACCAAGAAAAGCTTAAAATCAAAGTCACAGTTCAAATACAGAAATTATGTATGATAACATAAATTCAGCTGTTTGTTCTCTTTGATAGTCTATTCCAGTTTATATTTTCTCCCCGATACTAATTTTTAAATTTTCTTATATATTTCTTACAAGCTATCTTAAATTCTGTAAGATAGCAAATATAAGAATTTTTAAATTTCAAATAATCTAAAAGTTCCAAAATAAAGAAGATAAAACTTTTTTTACTCAATTAAAAATGTTAAATTGAATAAATTTACCCTAAAACAAAAAACTATGCATACCATAATGAAAAAAAAGTCAATGTAATATGTGCAGGCAGAGCCTTGGTGACGCAGTTGTTAAGGGTGTGGCTGCTAACCAAAAGGTCGGTAGTTCAAATCCAACAGCCGCTCCTTGGAAACCCTATGGGGTGGTTCTACTCTGTCCTACAGTGTTCACTGTAAGTCAGAATTGACTCGATGGCAACGAATATGGTTTTTTTTTAATATGCGCAGAGTAAGAGCATAAATATAATTTTTTGGTATTTTCCAAATGTTCCATTAACAGGGACATAGAAAATAATATACATAATAAAACATCAACAGAACATTTTTAAAAAGAAAAAGTACTGAGGTGTTCTCACATAATTGGCAACATTAACTAAAATGGAAAACTAAAGTAGAAGACAGGGAAACCTTCCACATGACCATGGAGGATTTATTTTGGTAATTAAAGACTTTGGAATGTGCAAAATCTCCCTAAATATTTTCACAAATTGTGAACAATAACAAGAACTGAGTTTTGAAAGGAAATCCTGGTGGCATAGTGGTTAAGAGCTACGGCTGCTAACCAAAAGGTCAGCAGTTCAAATCCACCAGGAGCTCCTTGGAAACTCTATGGTGCAGTTCTACTCTGTCCTATAGGGTTGCTGTGAGTCGGAAATGACTTGAGTTATGAAAATTCCATCCTTCCACATCAACAGTGTAACTAATATATTTAAGACGTTAAATCTTACTTATTTAATGAGCTGCTCGTCATCTATTTCAATGCAAATCAAGATCCCATACCAATAAATCTCTTCACTAGAAATACTGAAAGATCTCATTTCTTTTTCTGGTATTTTTTTAAATCAACTTCATATTCCCAGATTTCTAAAAACCCAGCTTTCTTTATTAACAAAGCCGTATCCAACTACATACACATCTAAAACCATCCCTTACACACTTACACTGTCTTTATCATCCATGTCAACACCAAGACTTCGCATCTCATTCTCCAAAACTTTCCGCTGAACCTGAAAAGAAAAAATATTTACCTTAAACAAAACTAGTTTGATAGTATGTTAGAAAAAATTTCAAAGGAAAACATACTTTAATGATAATCTAAGACATACTTTTTTTAGAAATTGTTATTTTTTACTTGGGCTCATTTTCATGTTTTTGCAAAGTTCAAAGTGATTCATTAGATCACATGAAAACTAACATTTACAGAGCAATTATTATATGTGAGACACAACATATACTTGTGTCCGTTTACTGTTCACAACAACCCTGGGGCATGAATCATTACTCTCTCCATCGTAGGGATGACATCACCAAAGACAGACTCCAGAGCTCTAATATCTCTCTTGTCCCAAACACTTACTTAGCACCCCTAAGAGGAATATAAAAATGTCCAAATCTGTTCATAACCTGTCTTTTGCCATCATGTGAACATGTTATTGTTGGGTGCCATCAAGTCAATCTGCTCCATAGGGTTTTCTTAGCTGTAACCTTTATGGGAACAGATCGCCAGGTCTTTCTCCTATAGAGCTGCTGGGTGGGTTTGAACTGCCAATCTTTTGGTTAGTAGCCAAGTGCTTAACTGTTTGTGCCACCATGGCTCCTTTATACAGAAACAGTATTTTCAAATATATGAATATCCATCCAGAGGTTTCTAGAATTTCAAGTTATCTTCTTTCCTTTCTCCTTATGTCTTAGCTGCCCAGCACCACTGTCTTCCTCTTTCTTTGGGGGAACTGCTCCTCTCTTAACTCTCCATTCCAGGTGGTTTAGGACCCTGCCCTGGTCACAGGGCTGGCACATGACCTAGGCCTGTAGAAACACAGAACCCACCTGCCACCCCGACAGGAATATGGAGTAGAAGAGAAAGATGCCCAAACAAATGTTTGGGAGGCAAAGATTTCCTAACGAGGACACAGAAAGTATAAAGTATAAAAGAAAATTTTTATAAATTGGACCTCATCAAAATAAAAATATTCTGATTTTTTAAAGGACAGTGTTAAGAAAAGGAAAGTCAGACTGGGAAAATTATTAGGAAAAAGGGTTTATCTGATAAAAAGTAACTTTTATCTAAATGTGTAATTTTAGAATACTAAAAATTCAGTTTAAAAAATGGGCAAAAGATTTGAACACTTTACCTAAGAGGATACACTGAGGCAAATAAGTACATGAAACAAGGATAATCATTATTCACTAGTGGAATGCAAGTTAAAACTACAATTAAAATGACTGACAATACCAAGGATCTGGAGGATCTGGAGCAACTAGAATCTCTGCTAGTGGGAACTGCCGTGGAATGCAAAATGGTAGAGACATTTGGGAAAGATAGTTTGGCAGTGTCTTATAAAGTTAAATATACACTTATCCTATTATCCAGCAATCCTTTTGAGTATTTTCCCAAGGAAAATAAAAACCGTATTTCTACACAAATGCTTATTATCAGATTTAAGAATCAAACCAACTTGCTAGTCCATATATACTAACTAAACAAAGTACATATATATATTATGGCCACAAATGGACTGAAAAGTTTTGTATAGCAATGATTACACAGGAATCCAAAACACAAAGAAATCGATCATGTGACTTTGAAAAAACACAAAAACTTGCCCTCTTAGCAGTTCGAGGCATTCTGGGTCCCTGTGTATTCTTTTCTTTTGATTGAAGAATTTTCAATTTCTTTTTTTCTCTAATTTGTTTGGCCAACTGTCGGATTTCCATCATTTCCTCATCTTCACTTTCAGAGTCACTGTCATACTCTCCAGCAGCTGTTCTTAGTTCTTCTTCTTTTTCTAGCTCTTGTAATTTCTTTTAAAAAAAGATAATTACACAAAATTAGAAAAAAAAAACTCATAAATAAATGTAGGAATGTTTAATTAGGAACTATGTTTTCCCTAAATCTTGGACGACACAATGAATACCATGGTCCAGAGCTCCATCTGGGCCTCATGTATGTGCTGGAGCTGTTATCTCAAAGCAAATGGACTTTGTGAAGACAATGAAGACCACACAATTACTGACAGGTAATTGTGAATTGCTCTGTGCCATTTCTTTTTCTTCTTTAGCAACAATTACTCTAAACATTAAGGTTTAAAACACCCAGACATCACCTTCCTCATTCCTCAAAACTCCCAACAATAAGTAACAGGAAATAAGCTCACATTCTGAAAGAATTAAAAATATATACACTACAATCTTGTATTACAATATCCCAATGATCTATCCTAATATAATGTCATCCCAATACAATCTCTCTGTCTACACAGTTAATAAAATAAAAAACAAATTGAAGACCAATTAAGGCAAAGACACTGCATATAAAAATTAGACGACAGGGACAAGGACATTTCAGAAGTGGAATAAATAGGAACAGAAGAGAGTAAAGGAGGCTTAATAATGTTTATTCCTTGAGTACCTAAAAATATCATGATGCTATCACCCAGATCAATTTCTACAACAGAAACTGCATTTGGAATGTAGGGTGTGAAGAACCTGTAGAGAAAATAAGACTGAAAACTTAAATTAAGGGGGACGTTTGGGAACCGAGGAGTAGAAGAAGGAGGAAATGCAGACAGCAAATATTTTATGAAGTATTTTTTCCAACAATTTGATTGAGGAGAGAAAAAGGAAGGATAGATAGCAGCTAAAGTCAGGTACAAGGTTAAAGGAAATTTTTGTTTTTTAATAAGATAGGAAAAACGTGTAGACATTTATGTGCTAAGAAACAGCAAGCAAGGGAGAGGAACTGAAATGAGACATAGACATCAGTGATGGAGCAAAATCCTAGAGACTGATCAGATCACAAGGACAAGCAGAGGAATGAGCCTGCACCAGGAGAAGGAAAAACTCTTGACCACATCAGTACATCAGTGTGGGCAGAAAAAGGGGGGAGATCAGAAAATTCACACCCTATGGACTCCATTTTCTCTGTAAGGTGAGGTCATCTGATGAGACTGGGAGAGGGAAGTACGGTAGGAAGTTTGAGAAGAAGTAGAGAAAGTCTTCAGTAGCCGCTAATGGAAGAATATGAGCAAGTAACAGGATTAACAGTGCTATGTGGAAGGCCCCGAAAAGACGGAAAAATTCATTTGCAATGGTCCCAATCTGAAGAGTTGTGTGATTTCCTCCAATAACACTCAGAGCATCAACGATCGGTAGATTTCAGGGTGGATGCAGATGAAGAACCAAGGGAACAGATCCAGGTGAGCCAAGAGTTGTGCTTATTATCTTCTAATGGTCATATTAAAAAGGGGAAAAAAACACTACACAATATAAAAGGTGTTACCAACCCTCATGATGTCAGGATCAATATAATCAGCTACATTATGGCCTTCCCAGATCTCTGGTATCTTATCATATTTTTCAGATGAATTCATTAGGTCCCAGTACTCTAAAGTTAAAAAACAAAAAAAGTCAAGTTTATGGTATTAATATCTTCAGCTATGATGTGCCCAAATTACTGCTGTTATACCAAGTCATATCTTTCTATATAGATAACAGAACACTTGTATTCAACACTACAGAAGGAAAATCCTATGATTAATAATTACTCCAAATATTGTCCAAGGTTATATCAGTATCTCAGGGCCAAGTGCCCAGAGAATAAAATCAAACATTAAAAAAAAAAAAAACAGAAAAAAAAGGGAAGAAAAATACCCGAAGGAAAACAAAAGGTATGAATAACAGATAACAACATCACCCTGTTTCAACATTTCTATGTTGTAAAAGCTACAAAGTAATCCACTCATCCTAAAAGGACAGAAAATTACTTAGAAGGGGAAAAAAACTTCACAGAACCCTATCAGAATGCAATGCTAAATCTTCAAGAAATTAAAAATGAACAAATATGCTAGAAGACATTTCCTTACTAAATTTCTTTCACTTTTCTGGAACACTTCACATGCAAATTGGCATTTTCACAGATAATGATTACACTCTGTTCTCTACAGTACTTACTCTGAAGGTTCAAAATATAATCATCTCCCATTTCCAGCTCAATATCTCGCTCCTGCAATGGATAAAAAAAAAATAATCAGTTTTATTTTACCTTTCACGTTTAGAAATGCTACGCACCCTCCTTGTTGCTATGAAATAATCTCTTCTTCCAAACTAACATCCGATCCTTTCAATATCCCGTGGATTCAGTTCCTATTTCTGGTAGGAAAGGTGTTTTTATCATCTAACATACTATATATTTTACTCATATATCTAGCTCACTGCTATTTCCCATCAACTAAAATGCAAGTTCCAAGAGAGTAGGGACTTTGGCAGTTTTTCACTGCTACGCTCACAGAACTTAACAGTGCCGGGCATCTAGGAGGCTCTTGATATGTGCTTAATGACCCTAATCCTCCATTACTAGTGATGCTTACAGGTATCTGCCTTTCTCTTCACAATTAAATCAGGGTGAGAGTTAGTTTAAAGAGACTTACCCTTTTCTTTTTAGGCTCCTCAATCTCCATTCTCTTCTTACGTGCCACTACTCCTGCCGGGATGAAGGGAGGCCTCTCCTAAGAAGGTATTTTTGAAAATGTGTATGTAAAACACCTTGCTGAATGAGAATAAAACTTTTAAAATAATTAAAAACTGGAAGAACGTAGTCAATGTCACTGAACTGTGCATGTAGAAATTTCTGAAATGGTGTATCTTTGGCTATGTATATTTTCACCAAAAAAAAAAAAAAAAGGTCGAGAAGGGAGAGGGTTGTTAACCAATGTCATAAAACAATATGTGTACTACTGTTTCATGAGAAACCATTTGTTCTGTAAGCCTTCACCTGAAGTACAATAAAAATAAAATAAATTTTTTTTAAAAAAAATTAAAAACTACAAGCAAATTCTCCATCTGTTAGGGACAGAAAAACATAATCAGACCAGTCAAAATACCAACAGATTATTCTGGGGAAAGGAGTGGGTTGCAAGACAATTTAGGCAAGGATGTCAAGAAGAGCCCACGAGCAGATCCTAAAGCTCAGTTAGAAAAAATGAACATCAAAATTACCTACAAAATCATGGAAAAAGAAAAGTAGTACAGGAGAAATAACAGTAGATCAATAGAAGAGAGACAGACCTTAGACATAAATCCAAGTACATATCAGAATTCGGTGGAAAGATGAATTAATTATAAGTAGACTTGAGATAAATGGCTAGCCATTTGAAAATAGAGCTGGATAACTACCTCCACCTGCCCTTCTTATAATAAATTCAAGACACAGGAAAGACTTCTTATTGGAGGTAAGACAAAAATTAAACCATGAAACAACCAACCAAACCCACTGCCATCGAGTTGATTCTGACTCCTAGTGACCCTTTAGGACAGGGTAGAGATGCCCCACAGGGTTTTCAAGGCTGTAAATCTTTAAGGAAGCTGACTGCCACATCTTTCTCCCGCAGAATGGCTGATGGGTTCCAACCGCCAGCCTTTCAAGTAGCAGCCGAGCACTTAACCACTGCACCAACAGGGCTCCTTAAACCACAAAAGTAAAGGAAAAAGAACAAAGATAGTTTTTTAAGAATACTTGTGGGATGAATGATAGGCCTTCTACATGTGACAAAAAAATCCAGCATCCATAAAGGAAATATTAACATACGTTAGTAATTTTTTAATGTATAATTTCTTTGAGGTAAAAAATAAAGATCCCCAAAACCAAAAGTCAGATGGCAAAAAGAGGAAATTTTCACAGTACATATGACAAAGGTCTGATTTCCTTAGTATACAAATGACAAATCAAGGAATAAGACAAACAGTCTAATGCATGTAAAATGCCAGTAAGTATATAAAAAATGCTCAACTGCACTAACCATTTAAGAAATACATCACAACGATAAAACCATCTTAAAATACTAGAGCAACAGAAGCTAATATCCAATGTTGTAGGTGATGTAGGGAAACATACGTTCTCAAACTATTAGCAGAATATAAATGACAAAGGCATTTTGGAGGACAATAATATTTTCTATGTACATACCTTGTGACTCATCTATTCCAATGCTTAAAATTTAACCTACAGATATGTGCAAAACTCTGCAGATATACATGTCTCTGTACAAAACAGAAAGATGAATGTATAAAGATGTGCACTCCCGCTGTTTGCCAATGGCAAGAAATTAGAAATGATAGAGGACTGCTTGATTGCAGTACATACATACAATATAAATGAAAATGAATGAGTTGGAGCTTCATGTGCTAATATAGATACATGCACATGATATATTCTTAAGATAAAATGCACATTTAAGAGAATGTAATACATTTCTGTTAGTGTTTAAAATACATATTTTCAATATGCTTATATACCAAAACACCACCCGTCTGTCAGTCTGTTGTATGTGCTGTGGTGGTTTGTGTGTTGCCATGATGCTGGAATCTATGCCACTGGTATTTAAAATACCAACAGAGTCACCATGGTGCACAGGTTTTAGCAGTTTCCAGACTAAGACAGACTAGGAAGAAAGGCCTGACAATCTACTTCCAAAAACTAGCCTTATGGATCACAGCAGAACACTCCCAACTCGCTTGTTTTGGACATATCATCAAGAGGAGGACATCATGTTTGGTGAAGCAGAGAGCCAAGAAGGGTGAGGGAGACCCTCGATAAGATGGATTGGCACAACAGCTGCCAACAATAGACTCAAACATGCTGAAGTCTGTGAGTTTCTTATTCATTCTTTGTACAAAAGGTTGCCATGAGTCAGAGTCAACTCAACGGCAGCTATTTAGCTACCAAAAAATTTTCTGGAAGGATAAAAAAAGACAGAATTAACAGTAACTGCCTCTGGTAGAATGAGAAGCAAGTTTTTAACTTGGCACTTTATACTCTCATTCACATTTTCAATTCTTTATCATATACACACAACTTCTACTATGAGAAACTCAATGCCACTTACGAAATTTACGTGTGTTTAACTGGATCTATAACCCCTGAGAAAAAAAGCATCCAAACAGCATCTACTGACTTTGTATCAGCAACACAATAATCTCACTTTTAAGGCATTCTGAAAAGCCGATCTTACCTTATCATCTCTTTTGTTTGGCACAGCTAAATGCAATCTGTTCAGCACCTCATTCACTTTATTTCCTTTCATTTTGGTTTCAACTCGATGAGCCAAAAGCCTATCACAAGCCTAGTAATGTATAAAACAAAGGACACAAAGTCACAAAGACAGCACAACAGCCACCTGTTAAACCTAGAGAAGAATCAAGAATCAGAGTCCCCATTAACCAGCAGATTATGGTCCAAAGGTTTATTTGTGTACATCTACATTCTTGGGACTTACTACTCACTTCCCTTAATAATATTTGACATATTGTCTTAGTTATCTAGTGCTCCTACAACAGAAATAACACAAGTGGATGGCTTTAACAAACAGAAATTTTTTCTCTCACAGTCTAGGAGGCTAGAAGTCCGAATTCAGTGTGCCAGCTCCAGAAGGCTTTCTCTCTGTTGGCTCTAGGAGAAAGTCCTTGTCATCAATCTTCCCCTGGTCTAGAAGCTTCACAGCACAGGGACCCCAGGTCCAAAGGACGCGCTCCACTCCTGGCTCTTCTTGCTTGGTGATAATGATGTCCCTCTCCTCTCTGCTCGCTTCTCTCTTTTATATCTCAAAAGAGACCGATTCAAGACCTAATGCTGTAGATTGAGTTCTGCCTCATTAACATAACTGTGTCTAATCCTGCCTCATTAACATCATAGAGATTAGGATTTACAACATACAGTATAATCAAGTCAGATCACAAAGTGGTGGACAACTATATGATACTGGGAATCACAGCCTAGCCAACCTGACACACATTTTTGGGGGACACAATTCAACTCATAACACGTATGGAGGCTAAATTCTCAAGTACCACCTCAAAAGTCTATTTAACTAATGATGTAGCACACCACACTCACATAAAGAGGAAGAAGCTTCAATCTCTCTTCAGGCTGAGGGCCAATCTTAGGCAAAATTCTGAAAAACTTGGCAAAGTTCACCTTTAACCTCCTTCCACACCCTACTCTGAACCTTCTTCCCAACATCAGTGACCCTCTCCAAGATTCTCAGTGCCCTACAGCTGTCCTTTCTGAAGGACTTTAAAAAATATTCTTAACTATATGTCATTTTCCACCTCATGTTTCTAACTTGAGCACCTAATCCCTGAGTAAAATCAACAGAATCATTGTCCTTTTTTAATTTCAAGAAAAAAATAATACGGAAAAAAAAAGATAGCATGTGAAATCTAACATGAAACTGCCTCCCCCAAGTTGTTTCTGCTTTTCATATTTTTTTTTCCTTCTACTTCTGAACAGGTCCCATAAACACACTTTTCACAGTAGCTCCTATGGAAGTATCAGCAGGCTAAGAGACACAGCAGATAGTCATTTTAAGTTAAAATGACCTATGGTTAGAATTACCAACTGTCTTAAGTTATCTCGGGCTGCTTTAACAAAACTACCACAGATGGGTGGTGGCTTTAACAAACACAAATGTATTTTCTCACAGTTTAGGAGGCTGGAAGTCTGAATCAGAGTGCTGGCTCTAGGGAAAGGTGTTTATTCCTTGGCTCCTTGGTGATCTTCATGTGGCATGAAGTCTATCCTCTCCCATCTTTGCTTCCTGCTCTCTGCCTAATCAGCTTGGTTTATACTTCAAAGGTGATGGGCTTAAGACACACCCTACACTGATACGGCTTCATTAACATAATAAAGAAAACTATTCCCAAATGGGTTTACATCCACAAGTATAAAAACCAAACCAAAACCATGGTCATCCAGTAGATTATGACTCATACCATCTTATAGGACAGGGTACAACTGCCCCGTAGGGTTTCCAAGGAGCGGCTAACGGATTTGAACTGCTGACCTCTTAGTTAGCAGCCCAACCCAACTCTTAACCACTAGGATAAGGAATTACAACACATATTTTGGGGGCACACAATTCAATCCATAACATAAACTATCTCTTCAAATTCCCACCACGCAATCAGGGATGAGAAGCCCTAGTGTTCAGGTGAAGGTGTTTAATGCCACCTTACTCACCAGTGCACTATTCATTCCTAACTGTCTAGCCAGTATGAGTGCTCAGAGTATTACCAATACCTAGATAGAAAACTGTTTCTTCCCATGACTGACCTTTTAAATTAAGAGAAAGACAGTAAAAGCACTGATCTCTGATTTTGAGGAAGCACTGACCTCTGTTTTAACCTTAATAACGCCTTCCTCAGTCAGGGTGCTGGTCTCTACTACAGGAAATCCTTCAGTCTGCAAATCTATAAAGATTTTCTGGGAATACAAAGGAAAATGAGAAATGCATTATTTATTTACTATTACTCAAATGGATGTTGCAAATGTTTATTGTTCAACACCTGTGGTTTGTTTTTAACTCTTCTGAAGAACAGAAATCTCTTAAAAATAGCTATTTTTTTCCTATATTCTTCCATGATTAAGAAACTACAAATCACTAGGAGGATCAAACCACACTATAGCAAGCAAATTCCAAGGCTCTCTAAACATTCTGTAACACCTCATCCTCCAACAAGGAGACTTTTAAGTAAAATTAATATATCAATGGCCTACGATGTTTTTAATGCTTGTTGTTAGAAAACAATATAAGAATGTTTCTGAATCTAGACACCTATAAATTACTAAGACTCTTAAGAGACTTCATTTTTATGCCCCTCCATCAAATGAGTTTTATAACTAAATTTGACTATCAATTAGATGCAGTGTGACCAATCCTATCATACTTATTTAAACTACTCCCCAAAAAGGTATATTTCCATTATTACAGGGTTTAACTTACCAGTTTAGAAATTTCCTCTTCTAATGGAAACCTGGTTTACACATGATGGTAAACATTCACTGTATGTAAAACCGGTTAATAATCTGCTTTGCAGTGCTGCTTTGATAAAGTTACCCTTTGCTGTTGAGTTGCTTCCAACTCCTAACAACCCTATAGGACAGAGCAGAACTGCCTCATAGGGTTTCCAAGGCTGTAATCTTTATGGAAGCAGACTGCCACATCTTTTTCCCATTGAGTAGCTGGTGGGTTTGAACAGCTGACCTTTCAGTTAGCAGCCAAGCGCTTAATCTCTGCGCCACCAGGGCTCCTTTTGATGAAGAAGCACCACTATAAATTATTAACTATATAGTAATTGTATGTTGTTGTCGTTAGGCATTGTCAAGTCAAGTCTGACTCACAGTGATGCCATGTGACAGAGTAGAATTGTCCCATAGGGTTTTCTTGGCTGTGAACTTTATGGAAGCTGAAAGCCAGGTCTTTTGCCCATGGAGCCGCTGGATGAGTTTGAAAGGCCAGCCTTTCGGTTAGCAGCTGAGCACTTAACTACTATGCCACCAGGGCTCCTTAGTAATATTATAATAGCTACCAGTACCTACCTGTTTTCCAATTTCATTAAATCTTACCAACAACCCTATGATACAGGTATTACCTCCATTTTTCAGACAAAGAAATTGAGATTCATAAAGGTTAACTAATTTCCCTAACATATAGCCAGAAAGTGGTAAAGCTGGGACTTGAACATATCCAACCCCAACACGTGAGCATTTAACCACTACATTTCTTAAACCTTTCTGGTGCTACCTACTCTCCCCTCTTCGCGTGTGTGTACGTCCATTGCTGTTAAATCGATTCTGACTCATGGCAACCTCTCGTGTTAACACAGAGTAGAACTGCTCCATAGGGTTTTCTTGGCGGTAATCTTTTATGGAAGCGGATCACCAGGCCTTTTTTCTGGGGTGTCATTGTGTCATTGGGTGGGTTTGAACTGCCCACCTTTTCGTTAGTAGACAAGTGTGTGCCACCCAAGGACCTTCTCTTCCCCTCTACCACCCTCTAATTCATTTTAGCCTGAAAACTGAAATTACAGTAGATACATGAGTTCTTTTAAAGGTAAGTTAATTCTCTGAGGTCCATGTTTATAAAATTAGTAATTTAAAGAATACATTATAGCTCTTTAAAGAAACCAGTCTGGCTGTTTTAAAAAAATGTAATTCTTATCAAATATTAAATTTCCAAATAGAACAAGAAAGAGACACTGAAAGAAGGGTAGAATACTCCTTCTATCTGAAGGCCTTACATTTTATGTCAACAAAGTATATTCCAGGAGAAATGGCTGGATCTAATTTATTATTTACTGCAGTGGTTCTTGTCAGTGTACATCAGAATCACCTGAAGGGCTTGTTTAAACACAGACTAGTGAGTTTCTGATTTGGCAGGTCTGGGGTGACGGACCAAGAATTTGCATTTCTAACAACTTCACAAGTGAAAGTGATGCTGCTGGTCCAGCACTCCAAGAACCACTACTGCAGTGCAATGCCAGATTATCCTGAACGATGCCTCTTAGAAAGGACTGCAGGGTCAAATTAGTTTGAAAAACTATGCATAACAGTATTATCTTCCTCATGGAAATTTACAGTAAATACTACATATTCAAGGTTCTGAAAAGTCGTATATTGCACCAGTTTACAGAAACTCATTTCCCAAACATATTTAGCCAACAACCTCTTTTTTTAAGTAATACTTATGAACATCCTTTCTAACCATAAACTTTAGAAAATATTGCTCTAGTATACAAGATACTTTGAAGCAGGAAAGAGATAAAGCATATCTTAAGGTACTCTGTTTTCTAAAAGGCATCAATTGAAGATGCGAGTCCTTCTTACATAAAGTAAATGTATTTACCAAAGGTTATATATAGCAAACATTAAACACATGGACTTTTTTTTCCCCACAGACCCGAAGATAGAGGAGGAATCAGGAAACCTATATTTTAATTTGCCACTGAATTTTTATAATGGTCATGTCACTGAAGCCATTATATTAACTATAAAATGAAAAACTGGATTAGTATTGCTAAAATTCCTTCTATACTTGTGTCTAAAAATGAGATTTGGAATTAGTAGATAAGCAGCATTGAAACTGTTACAAAACTATTTAGGTGATTTACCTGATCATCTTCAGAAAGTTCAGCTATTTTCTTCACATCACACTTGTTTGCTACAACTATAAGTGGCTAGCAAGGAAGAAAAATAATAAAATTATTATCTTCACACTGTAGGTCATAAACTAAAACATTCGTTTATCATGCTCACCTTATTGATAAAGAGAGGCCTAATGTTTTGGAAGAGTTCAAGCTGCTCCATCAATCCATGCCCACACTGCTCAGACAGATCCATCACGTACAGAACAGCAGCGCGAAGGTGGGCCAGTGCTGTGATGGCCTGCATCTCGATGGTGTTCCGATCCTCCAGAGGATGATCCAAAATTCCTGGAGTATCTACAACCTAAAAACCACACTTCATCATTCCAAAGCATACTTATTTACACACCTACTTACAAACATCCAGGAAGTATTCACATACCCAAATCAGACCTGACAAAATTAGTCAGTTAAAATAAAGGTCTCCCAAACTAAATATGATAAAATGAACAAAGGACTGAGGGAAAAGTACTAATTCTTAAAATGTATTTAAAAAATGGCAGTGGAGGAATCCTGCAGAGCTCATAAAAAAACTAGTCAATGACCCTAACAGAAAGGATTCCTCTTTCCATTAGCAACGTCATAAAATTTAAAACCTGCAATAACTGACAAACCATCTGTCATGGATTGAGTTGTGTCCCACAGAAATATCTGTCAGCTTCGCTGGGTCATGATTCCTAGTGTTGTATGACTGTGTGATCTGACGTGATTTCCTTATGTGTTGTAAATTCTATCACTGTGATGAGGTTATACTGATGAGGTTTACAAGATTAGATAGTGTCTTAACGCAATCTCTTTTGAGATATAAAAGAGAGAAGTGAGCAGAGATACAGGGGAACCTCATACCACCAAGAAAGCAGTGCTGGAAGCAGAGCGCATCCTTTGGACTTGAGGTTCCTGCGCAGAGAAGCTCCCAGACCAAGGGAAGACTGATGCATCACAAGGACTTTTCTCCAGAGCCGACAGAGAAGACAAAGCCTTCTCCTGAAGCTGATGCCCTGAATTTGGACTTGTAACCTACTGGACTATGAGAGAATAAACTTCTCTTTGTTAAAGCCATCTACTTGTGGTACTTCTGTTAGAGCAGCACTAGATGACTAAGACACCATACCATGTCTTAAGAATTACTTTATAGTAACAGAGCACAAACAGCAAAAGACAAAATTAAAAAAAGGGACCTCATAAATTAAAAACTTGTATTCATCAAAAGATTTTACAAAAAAATGAAAAGACAAGCTACCAACCGGGAGAATATCTTCAGAAACCATGTATCTGACAAGAATCTAATAACCAAAATATATGTAAAACTTCGACAACAAAAAGACAATCCAGTAATGAAATGGGCAAACACCAAAAGGGACACTCAAATGGCCACCAAACACGTAAAGGATGCTCAGTGTCATCTGCCATCAGAGAGATGCAAATCAAAACCACAATGAGATCTTTTTAACAAATGGTGCTGGCAAAACTGAATGTTCACTTGTAAAAAAATGAAACAGGACCCATATCTCACACCATACATAAAAACGAACTCAAAATGGATCAAAGGCATAAATATAAAACCTAAAACTATAAAGATCATGGAAGAAAAAGAAGGAACAACACTAGAAGCCCTAATACATGGCATAAATAGTATATAAACCATAACAAACAATGTACAAACACCAGAAAATAAACTAAATACCTGGGTTCTTATAAATTAAACACTTATGGTCATCAAAAGAATTCACCAAAACAGTAAAAAGAGAACCTACGCACTGGGAAAAAATTTTCGGTTACAATGTATCTAACAAGAGTATAATCTCTCAAATCTATAAAATGATTCAACACCTCAGCAACAAAAAGACAAATAACCCAATTAAAAAATGGGCCAAGGATATGAAAGGAATGTCTTCACCAAAGAAGACATTCAGGTGGCTAACAGACACATGAAGAAATGCTCGCAACCATGAGCCATTAGAGAAATGCAAATCAAAACCACAATGAGATACCATCTCACCCCAACATTACCGGCACTAATCAAAAAAAAAGAAACTAACAAACGTTGGAGAGGCTGTGGGTAGACTGGAACTCTTACGCACTGCTGGTGGGAATGTAAAACGGTACAACCACTGTGGAAAATGATATGGCACCTCTTTAGAAAGCTAGAAATAGAAATACCATACTATTCAGCAATCCAACTCCTAGGAATATATCTTAGAGATATACAAGCCATCACACGAATAGACATATATGTACATCCATGTTCACTGCAACATTATTCACATCAGCAAAAATATGGAGAAACAGCCAGTAGTGAAAATGAAGTCTTGATACATGCTAGAATATGGAAGGAGATGGAAGACATAAAGCAGAGTAAAATAAATCAATCACAAAATGACAATATTATATGACCTCACCAATATAAACAGACAAGAAAAGGCAAATGTATAAAGAACAAAGTTTATTAGTGTTTACCAGGGGCAGGAGGGAGGGACAAAGGGGGATCAACAGTGATGAAAATATCACACTGATTAAGGATAGGGTTGCACAGCCAATTATTGTAATTGCTGTCAGTAAGTTGTACGCATGTAAAAAGCTGAATTGGCAGATACTGTGTGACAGATACATTTACGACGACAAGGGGTTAAAAAAAAGAGTAGCTGCCGAGGCTGCTTGCGTACAACCAAACACCTCCTTTAGGGTCACAGTTTCATGGGACATCCCAGTTAATTGGCCTAATTAAAAAAATATGTAATGCCCATCAACAGATGAATGCATAAACAAATTATGGTATATACACACAATGGAATACTACTCAACGATAAAGAACAATGATGAAACCAGAAATATCTCAAACATGGATGAATCTGGAGAGCGTCATACTGAATGCAATCTAAGTCAATCACCAAAGGACAAATATTGCATGAGACCCATATTACAAAAAACCAAGAAAAAGTTTACGCACAGAAAAATGCAATCTTTGATAGTTACAAGGGAGGGGAAGAGTGGAGAGGGAAAATCACTAGATGGTAGACAAGTGTTAACTTTGGTAAAGGGAATGATAACACACAATATAAGGGAAGTCGGTACAACCTGACCAAGGCAAAGTCATAAAAGCTTCCTGTTGTTGTTACGTTAGGTGCTGTGCAGTCAGTTGTGACTCATAGCGACCCTATGTACAACAGAATGAAACATTGCCCCGTCCTGAGCCATCCTCACAAATCAATGCAATGTTTGAGCCCACTGTTGCAGCCACTGTGTCAATCCATCTCATCCAGGGTCTTCCTCTTTTTCACGGACCCTCTACTTTACCAAGCAAGATGTCCTTTTCCAGGGACTGGTCCCTCCTGATACATGCCCAAAGTACACGAGTTAAAGTCTTGCCATCCTCGCTTCTAAGAAGCATTCTGGCCATACTTCATCCAAGACATCATCCACTTATCATGATGTTGCTTATTGGTCCAGTTGTAAGGATTTCTGTTTTCTTCATGCTGAGGTATATAATCCATGCTGAAAGCTGTAATTTTTGATCTTCGTCAGTAATTGCTTCAAGTCCTCTTCACTTTCAGCAAGCAAGGTTGTGTCACTTGCATATGACAGGTTGTTAATGAGTCTTCCTCCAATCCTCATGCCACGTTCATCATACAGTCCAGCTTCTCGGATTATTTGCTCAGCATACATACTGAGTAAGTATAATGAAAGGATAAAATCCGGATGCACACCTTTCCTGACTTTAAACCACACAGTACCCCTTGTTCTATCTGAAGATCTGCTTCTTGGTCTATGGATAGGTTCCTCATAAACACAATTACGTGTTCTGGAATTCCCATTCTTTGCAATGTTATCCATAAGTTGTTATGATCCACACAGTTTAATGCCTTTGCATAGTCAATAAAACAAAGGCAAACATCTTTCTGGTATTCTCTGCTTTCAGTCAAGATCCATTTGGCATCAGCAATGATATCCCTTGTTCCAAGCCCTTTTCTGAATCTAGCTTAAATTTCTGACAGTTCCCTGTCGATGTACTGCTGCAACTGCTTTCGAACGATTTTCAGCAAAATTTTCCAAACACCCTGAGGGACCAAGTTACTGGGGCTGAGGGCTGGGGAACACGACCTCAGGGAACACCTAGGTCAATTGGCATAACACAGTTCATAAAGAAAATGTTCTACATCCTACTTTGGTGAGCAGCGTCTGTGTCTTAAAAGCTTGCAAGCGGCCATCTAAAATTTGTCTATTGTTCCCATCCTGTCTGGGGCAAATGAGAATGAAGAACCAAAGACACAAGGAAAATATTAGTCCAAAGGGCTAATGAACCACATGAACCACAGATTCCACTAGCCTGAGCCCAGAAGAACTAGATGATGCCCAACTGCTCTGATAAGGATCACAACAGAGGGTTCCAGGCAAAGCAGAAGAAAAATATAGAACAAAAGTCAAACTCAACAAAAAAAGACCAGACTTACTGGTCTGAGAGAGACTGGAGGAACCTCTGAGACTAAGGCCCCTGGATATCCTGCTAACTCTGAACTGAAGCCATTCCCAAAGTCCACCTTTTAGCCAAAAAGTAGACAGGCCTATAAAACAAATAATAACATATGAGGAACACAATTCTTAGTTCAATCAAGTACAGGAGACCTGCCCAAAAACAAAGACGAGAAGGCAGGGAGAGACAGGAAAACTGCACGAATGGACACAGGGAACCCAAGGTGTAAAGTGAAAGGGGGAGAATGCTGACACAAATTTGTGGATTGCAACCTATGTCACAAAATAACTTGTGTATAAATTTTTGAATAAGAAACTAATTTGTGCTATAAACTTTCACCTAAAGCACATTAAACACACACTCACATACACACACACGAGATCCCATTTCACTTCCACTAGGATGACCAAGATGAAAAAAAAAAACCAAAATAACAAATGCTGGCAAGGATGTGGGGAAACTGGAACCCTTACCCACTGCTAATGGGAATGCAAATTGGTATAGCCGTTGTGGAAAACAGTGAGATGGTTCTTCAAAAAACTAAAAATAGAACTACCATATAACCAAGAAATTCCACCCTTAGAAATACACCCTAAAGACTTGAAAGCAGAGACTCAGAGCCTTGTACACCAATGTTCTCTGCAGCATTATTCACAATAGCTAAAAGGTGGAAACAACCCAAATGCCCATCAACAGATTAATGGATAAATACAATGTGGTGCATACATTCAATGGAATACTACTCAGCCAGTAGGAGAAAAAATGGCTTGATACATGCTACAGTTGGGATGGAGCTTGAAGACATGATGCTGAGTGAAATAAGCCAATCACAAAAGGACAAATATTGTTTTACCTCACTTATATAAAAAAGACAAGAAAAGACAACTGTATAGAGACTAAAGTTTATTAGTGGTTACCAGGGGTGGCAGGGAAGGGAAAAGGGGGGATTACTGCTTATGAAGTACTGACTTTCAGTTTATGGGATGGAAAAATCACATTAAGGGTAGAGTTGTACCACCAATTATTGTAAATTGCTGTATACCTGTAAAAAGTTGAACTGGCGAAATTTGTGATAGATGTATTTTCAACAACAACAAAAAAAGAATACCTGCTGAGGCTGCTTATGTACAGCTAAAAGCTTCATGGGATTTGGTTTCTTGGTTTGGGCATTTAGGGTCATGGTTTCATGGGCCATCCCAGTTAACTGGCCTAGTAACATGTTTAGTGCTTCTGTTCTACCTTCTAGTTCACTGCATAGTGCCTGGGGTCTTAAAAGCTTGCAAGCAGCCCAGGAGGGCACAGCAATTAGTCTCCATTTGCCTAGAGCAAATAGGAGGAGGAAATGGAATGTGTGGCTAATAGCCTCCATGAACAACTGCCTCCTTTGCCATGAGACCAGAAGAACTGGATGGTGCCTGAACATTTTGATGAAAGATTCCATAGAATAATCCTGATCAGAGGGGGAAAAATGCAGAGCAAAGTTTCAAATTCTCATGGACTCCAGACTTTCTGGAACCATGGAGGCTGGATGAACCCCTGGAACTACTGCCCTGAGATTATCTTTAAATCTTAAACCAAAAACATCCTCTGAAATCTTAAAATCAATACTTTAGCTTAACTAGTAAAAATGCCTGCCTTGAGCATTATGCTCTTTTAAGAACTATTTATACTGGATCAAATTGATAACAGCAAGTGAAAAGAACAGATAGGAATCTTAGGTGGTAGTGAATTTATATTAATGGAGGAGGAACAACTCAGAAAAGGAGGGTGAGAATGGTTGGACAACTCGAAGAATGTAATCTATGTCACAAAATGGTACGTGTAGAAAACTGTTGAACTGGTGTATGTTTAGCTATGTATAGTCTCAACAACAGTGAAATAAATAAAAAAGACTTCCTAATTTACAAAATTAAAATTCCATTGGGAAAAGACTGCTTCATGTGTTTAAATAGTTTATGCCATTTCTAATGACAAAAGTATAAATGATGACAAAGAGCCCTTCATTTCAGTAAAAAAAGGCACCATGACTAATAAAATGCAGAAAGCCATGCTGTCAGCTTGCTGCTCCCTTGAATAACATCATAGAAAAGAGAATTGCCTTTATGTAACCCTGAAGCTCAGCTAAATTTTCTTTAGAGAAATTTCAAGTTCTTGGTGACTCCAAAAACATTTTCCTCAGCTCCACAGAATCCTCTCTAGAGGATACTGCTCGTAGTTGACTCTATACTAAGTGCAATATTAAACGGACAGATCGCTTTAGACATCATCAAAATCAGTTCCACTAATTAAAAGACACCTGTTCAACCTTTAAAGATAAGAACTCTCACCTGCCAACGAAGATACTTATAATCCATGTGCCCAACAAACAATGATTTAGTTGTAAAGGCATAAGGCTGGACATCCACATCGGCTCTTGTCACCTTAAAACAGAACAATCAAAATTTCAATAATTATAAGACGTATTATACCCTTTTTTAAAATACCTTTTATTTCCCTCTGAAACACCTACATATTATCAAGACTTGTTTTTTGTTTTGGTAGAAAAAACAAACAAAGTGGCCTTGTGGGATTAAACTGTGTAAAAAGGAGTTACTCAACTTTTATAAATAGACTAGCTCTGCTTCCCTCATACCACCTGTCCAAAGAACAAGAACATGAATTAGACAGCAGAAAGGACAGGGGAGCTCAGCATCTGGAGAATACTCATCATTTAAATCGAAGCCCAAAATCTCTTCTCTAATTCTCCCAGTTTGTATCCCACTATCAAAGCAATGCCCAACAGAATTTTCTATGATGGAGATGTTCCATATCTGCACTGTTCAATACAGCCCCTAGCCAGATGTTGCTAATGAATTCTTGATATGTGGTTACTATGACTGAGAAATTGGATTTTTTATTTCAATTTTAATTAATTAAAATTTAAAAAGCCACACTGCCAGTGGCTACCATATTAGCTCACAGAGCACTATCCTAGTGTGGTAAGTTCAGAGTATGCTTAAATGTTATTTGAAAATGTGTTTAAAAAGACTTGGTACTACAGACCTTTGGTGTGTCACCATGTCATGGCAACTCCTGGATAAAAAATAAAAACCTATAAATCTGTCTCAAAGCAAGTATTCTTGTCACCAAGTAAGCTATAACATATTGACAATTTTTTTTTGCATCTGTGCTATTGTTTATAAATCCACATTTTAAATGCTCTATCTAGTCTTTTCAGGTTCCTTGAGCTCTGCTAAATTGTCCCAAAGCACTAAGTTACTGAATTACTTAAATATTAATGGAGAGGGTTCCAACTTCTCCACAATTAATAACTCCCTAAGGTAAATAAAGAGTGGCTCAGCAGCTTACCACTATAGTGGACCAAACTGTGAAAGCTGATACAGCAACCAAGGTGACAAATCAACCAAGAAACACCTTAAGAGACTGGGAAATTTCAATTCAGTAAGTGTAGTGTCTGCAGTAAGTAACTCCTCTGGCCATACCATTCCCAGAATATGCTGAAATAACACATCCTTCGAAAAGTTTCCCATTTTGTAACAAAAGTTTTTTTAAATATCTCAAATGGCTTACAGAAATTTATACGCCATATACAAGAATCAAATAAAAGAAAAATAAAATGGGTTCTGTAACTACAATATAAATCTAGGTTCAAAGAGCCAATCCTGCCTATGAGGAAATCAATTATTTTTAGGTGTTTAATACTCCTGCAGACTAGGATAACACAGTTGGCTAAAAATATTACCAAAGTCATCCTAAATCCCAAACACCCAGAATACATAGCAATTTCACCTAAAATAATCAGATCATCAGCTTTATAATGAAAAAACAGACCAACCTTATTGATGAAGCTGGATTTTCCAACATTTGGGTACCCACACAAAAGCAGTGTTCTGGTATTTGGATCAATGGTTGGCAAACGGGATAAATGTTGACGCACTATGAAAAGTTTCAATTAAATGTGTTTAATTTTCTAAGAAAACTTACAAGACTCAAAGTTTAAGATTTGCTTGAAATTTTCCTGTTGACTTAATTACACTCCAGCCCATTATATGTTACTTACATAATTAATCATAATTATATATTAATTCTCACCCCCCCATCAATTATAATGTAAAAGTGATGGAGAAAATATAAAAGAATGAAAAAAGGATTAGTTAAGAGTCAACATGGTATACAGAATAATGTTTCCCAAATCTGGCTGTACCAAGAATCATATTGCTAAGCCCTTCTTGTTACTGTGTGCCATCGAGTAGATTCCAACATACACTGACCCTGTAGGACAGAGTATGACTGCCCCATACCATTTCCTAGGTTGAAATCTTTTCAGGAGCAGATCGCCAGGTTTTTTATTCCTGCGGAGCTGCTGGTGGGTTCGAACCACCAACCTTCTGGTTAGCTGCCAAGCACTTAAGCAATGTACCACCAGGGCTTCTTTTCCGAGTACCTACCAACCCAGTATTCTGATTCAATAGGTCAAAGATGGGCTTTTTGAGTAATTTGAGTAATGCTTCAATATTGGCGTACAAATATATGAGTCCTTGCTTTAAAGTCTTTTGGGTATATATAAAGGAGTGGAAACGCAGGGTCAAATGGTTATTGTTTAACTTTTTGAGAAACTGCCAAACTGTTCTCCATAGCAGCTACATCATTTTACATTCCCACCAGCAATGGACAGGGTTCCAATTTCTCCACATCCTCACCAACACTTATTATTTTCCCTTTGTTTTTTACAATAGCCATCCTAGTCAATGTGAAGTGGTATCACTATGGTTTTGGTTTGCATTTCCCTAATGACTAATGATGTTCATCTTTTCATGTACTTATTCGTCATTTGTATATCTTCTTCGAATAAATGTCCATTCAAGTCCTTTACCCATTTTTTGATTGCATTGTTTTTCTTTTTGTTGTTAAATATTCTACTTTAATTCGGAAACTATCCTATTAAATAAAAATTTAAAAACCACTGCTATCAAGTCTATTCCTACTCACTGCGACCCCATAGGGTTTCTGAGGCTATAAATCTCTATGGAAGCAAAAGAGCTCAATCCTAACACACACCACAAAAAAGCATTTTTTAAAGAAAACCAATAATAAGTAGAACTATGAATCATTTTATTTTTATATAGTTTGGTATTTTCTCATGAGTTATAGTATCTATAACTTACCTACTAAATATGAAAAGGGTAATTTTTCTCAATAAAACCTGAACACCCGCTGCCATCGAGTCGATTCTGATTCACAGCGATCCTATAGGACAGAGCAGAACTGCCCTATAGGGTTTCCAAGGAGCAGCTGGTGGATTCGAACTGTGGACCTTTTGGTTAGCAGCCGAGCTCTTAACCACTACACCACCAGGGCTCCATTTTTCTCAATGGTGCTATTAATTTGTAAGCATTGTAAGTGCTAGTCACTTTTTCAATAAAAACAACTAGCCTATGAGAATAAGAACACTGAGAAAAAATACTTTTTTTTCCATCTCTAAAACAACACATCTCGCAAGCAACAAATAATAAAAATGAACACTCCCCAAAAAAGGTTTTCTTCCACTCCTAGGTATATACATAAAAGAATTGAAAACAGGGACAGATATGTGTACGCCAATCAATGTTCACAGCATTGATCACAACAGCCAAAAGGTGGAAATAACCCAAGTGTCCTGAATGGATAAACAAAGTGTGGTACACACATCCAAGGGAATATTATTCAGCCATAAAGAGAAATGAAGTTCTGATATATGCTACAACATGAATGAACCTTGAAAACATTGTGCTAAGTGAAATAAGCCAGACATAAAAGAACAAATATTGTATAGTTCCACTTATGTAAAATATAGAACAGCACATTTAGAGAGATGGAAAGTAGAGGTTACTAGGAGCTGTGGGGAGGAGCATGGGGTATTACTGGTTAATAGGTACAGAGTTTCTGTTTAGGGTAATGAAAAAGTTTTGAAAATAGATAGCGGTGATAGTTATTCAACATTGTGAATGCAATTAATCTCAATGAATTGTACGTTTGAGGAACTGCCAAACTAAATTGTACATTTTTATTTAAAAATGGTTAAAACGGCAGCTTTTATGTTGTATGTATCTTACCACAATAAAATACTTTAAACAAAAAAAAAAGAGTAATTTCTAAGCAAGGATCAAGTATCTTACCAGAAGATACTAGAAACCATTTTTGCTTATGTATAACAAATACCTTGTTCCAAGTACTCCAAGCTCTGTTTCTGTCTTTTGATAATAGTACACATTCGCCCAAGGGCAGCACGTTTCAGCTGTTTGCAACGGTAGAGAGAATCTCCATATTTCATAAGTCGCACATAATCTTTAGCAACACTTAAAAAAATTAAAAAATACTTGTTATTTTTTTTTTCACTTCTGATAATAATTTAAAAGAAACTACATTAAGAAAATGCCTTACTTGTCCACTAAATTTTTGGCAATATTTATTTGTCCTAGAGCCAACTTGTAATGATCCTTGTCATAGAGAATATTCATCAAATCAGCATAAAATGGATGGATATCCTATAATAAAGAACAAAACTGTCATTTTGGTCCAAAAGTTCCTCATCCCTACATGTTAATAATAAAGAGTAAATTTCCTAAGGAAATATATTCCACCTTTTCCTCTCTCCTCACACATCCAGCATCTTCTCCCCAATCCTCACTCTCTCGGTTAATGGGACTTATGCATTAGATCCCATCCCCTCTTACTACTCAAGAACTTAGTTCCAGGAATCCTCTCCTCTGTTTTTCATTTTTAATTCTTCCATCTCTACCTGATGATTCCCACCAGCCTACAAACATGCCATTATTTCTCAAATTTTTAAAATATTAAAAAATCCTTTTAACCCATTCTTCTTCCAACCACTGTATCTCCAGGCCAGATCTCTTTCATGAGCTTCAGATTATCTGGCATTTCTACCTGGATGACTTATACACATGTCACAATCAACACATACAAACCAAATTCTTGATTTCTCCTCCACAAACCTGCTCCTCCTTCAGTCTTTCCCATCTTGGTAACTGGCAACTCCACTGTCCAAGGTGCTAAGGTCCAAAATCTCGAAATCTTTCTCCATTCTTCTTTCTCTCACATTCCACATCTATTCTATAAGCTAATCCTGTCAGCTCTACCTTCAAATGATATCCTGAAGCCAACCACTTCTCAACACCTTCACCACTACCACAAGCTCACCAAGATTACTGTATTAACCTTCTAATGTCTTATCCTTCTACAGTCTACTCAAAACACTGCAGTCAGTCATCCTTTAAAAAGGTAAGTCAAAGCCTGTCACGTCACTGCTATGCTCCAAACCCTCCAATGGCTTCCTTGAGAATAAAACTCAAAAGTCCTACAGAATTTGCCTCATCCCAACCCATTACCTCTCTGAACCCATCTCCTAGTATTCTACCTCTCATATACTATGCCTCAGACTTCTGGGTCTCCTTATTCCTCAAAGACATCATACTCTTGACCTCAGGGCTTTAGCACTTGCTGTTTTTTTGCATATAGTGCTCTTTCTCCAGATAACCACATGGGGCTATCTCACTTCAAGTCTCTGCTCCAATGTCACCTTATCAAAGAAATAACAATTCCACTCACTGGCACTCCCTATTCCCCTTACTCTGTTTTTTTCCCATCTGACACACTACGTATTTTCGTGTTTACTATCTGTGTTCCCCACTAGAACAAGAATAGGGACTTTTTATTCACTGCTGTATTCCTTCTGCCTAGAAGAGTACGTAACACATAACAAGCATTCAATGAATGATGATAACGCAATCTAAACCTCTACTCTGAAACTGTTCTCGGATAACTATTGTTTGTAAAAAAACAGGAACAGAATGTTCATAATTTGAATTCTCCCACTTTTAATGTATAAAAAATAATACTAAGGATGAAAAAAATGAAACTTCTTACAAAGAAAAGAACCATAATTTTTTTTTGCTAAAATCAGATGTTTGCTAGTATGAAATTCACTGTTCATATTCTTAACCTCATTCTCATCCCTTTTTCATCCCCAGTATCTTCTAGTACTTGCCTTCCCCCAAGAAATTATTCATTCAAGAAGCATCTATCAAGCACACTGTGTCACACTCTAAAGATGGATACGACTATCCTCTAGTAGGAGTTTTTACTTTTTAAACACTTTACGAAAGTGTTCAAAAACTTTTTTAAACAACTTTATTTTTAAACAAGTCTTTATTATCTTCTTAAATATTAAAAAAAAAATATTTCTCTACGCCTTTACCTACCTTCAGTCTATTTTGGGGTAACGGCAAATTTAGGCTCAACAACATATTGTTGATCCCGTCATATTTCATAATGTGTAAGAACCTTGCAACCATGTGATCACAACACAGGGGTCTTCTTAAACTCTGTTAACAGACTTTGCCAAGTAGTTTCTCCTCTTGTTTTTTCTACAGCTAAATAAAGGCCAAACTGTAATATGTAGCAGAATTAATATACACTGAGTTCAGCTTTGTTTTTTTTTTTTGGGGGGGGGGTTAATACAGAAGTCAAAGCCCCCCATGTGAAGAAAATGGTCAGTGCTGAGCTGACAGTCATTTGCTGATGACAAGCAATAAGATCACAAACACTGGTGGACCTTAAGCAGGTGGACCTTAGATAAGTGACCCAAGTTGAGACATAGGAAAAAGAAGCCTCAGAAAGAGGGAAGAGATGATGAAGCCCAGACAAGCAGAAGCTTAAAAGCTGACAAGCTTACAGAAGATTCTAAGCTTCTGAATGTATAATCCACAGCTTTCAAATAACTTGGGCCCTCTTAAACAGGGCTTGGTTGGGGTAAAGGAAAAAAAAACAAGAAATCAAAAAACCTGGATTCTGTTCCTAGCTTTACCACTTACTTTGGCAAGTCAGTTACCTTGTTCCCCTCACTTTCTCTCAAATGAGCACACTAAACTGGTTAAACACTCATTATTTGTAGGTTTTGCAAAACCACATTTGTAGTAGCACACACAGATAACCATACATTTAAAAAAATTTCCCCCCGAGTCACTTACATCCAATTTGGGGAAATCTGCTAAGATCTGAGAGAGTCTGTCATGGTAATTCTGTTGAGTAAATTTGACTTTCCTCATGTAAAAATGTCTAATGC